GGTTTATATACTCTAAATGAATTATCTGTGGCAAACACAACTATGACATGAGGCCTGGACTGTTTGTAAAAACCTTTGTTGGTTTGTAACAGTTTTTATAAAGTCATCTTTTTTACCTTAAGTGAAGTATTTTATTAAAGAATACTAACTCAAGTTAAAAACTTGATTTAATTAGAGAAAATTGTGCTTTTTATGTCTGACTAGTGTAACATTCCAGCAAAAACATTTTATGTTTCATATAGGTTTAATTTACTAAATCTCCTTTTCTACACATAATTAAGAAATAAATGACCTATTACAATAAAGCTTTGTTGCCAACAATTTACAAAGTCACCCTTGGTTTAAAATTTTACATACTTTCATTTATTTCTTATATTTAGCCCATGATGCAGCAGCTTGATATGCATATTGTGATAATTAAACAATTGACCATCCTGGAGAGCGTGGGGGGATTTAAGCAGCTGGAAGGACAACCCAGATGTCAGAGCATTATTTTTTTTACCTGATGTTAAATCATCCTTTAAGTAGGTTTTTCTGATGATGACTTAATCCTTTATTGATGGCCATCAGAAAGCTTTAAAAAGTCTAACATCAGACCCGATCTCCTTCTGAGCTGTAATGAAAAGTGGTTTTATTTTATTTGCACCCAAATAAAAGGAACAATGCCAGTGAGGAATTTTAAAACAAAAGCTGACATAAAAGATATTTGTCAACAATGGCAAAGCTACAAGTGATTTGCTGCTTTCTTCTAGATCAAGCTTTAATWAAATGCAAAGATTTTCACAATACTACAAGAAGAAATCTTGTTTAAGAGTCAGTCTGTGTGGAGAAACTGGACACTTTACAGTCTGTGCTCGGCCTTGTTTTATGTTCTATAAATATTTATGAGGAAACAGACCCTCTAATTAGCCGAACCCTCCTGGGCCCTGTGCCCGGGAGGCTCCTCTCAGCCTGTTAGCAGTGATAAAATTAGGCGAGTCGGAGCTTGTGTGTGGCTGCTTCACCTGGGGCTGCGGGTCGTTGTAACATGGGTGGGATTCTGTTTCCATCAACAGGATTATGGGCTCTTATGTGTCCGCGTGTGGAGTTAAGATTAGGATCTGTTTGGGCTTTTTCACAGCAGCTAATGTGGCCAAATTTCACCCTAATTGTTTGTTTATCGTGTCAGGCACTGTAATTCAGCAGCAAACAAAAAGCAGTAAACAGACACATTCAGAAGCAGCTCGCTGACATGATGTTTAAACAGAGATCCTCTTTAATGAGCATCCTTAGTTAGTGGCATCTGCTGCTTTATGTGGGACTGAAAGGTCTTAATTATACAGAAAGAAATTAGATAAAAACAACACATCTTTAGTGTTGTTTAGTGAGGATACTGAGATAATTCCAAATGTTAACAAGGATGTGAACAATTAAAAACAATCACACAAAATAGGGATGTAAAAGCATGAACAAATGATTAAAAGTAACTGTTTTGTTACAATAACTGTTATTTTCAAGTGCAGTTAAAATATTTTGTTGTAGACAGCACGGAGGAGATGGTATTGATTTTTCTTTTCTTTTTTTGTTTTGTTTTAACATTTAAAAGATGGAAGCTGAAGTTCACAAACATGATACAGATAAAAACATTGCAACTATCTCTATCTCCTTCCATGAAGTTTTAACACTAATATTGTTTTCTTGTGTTTTCTAATAAGACAGAAAGGCAGCTAGAAAAGCAGTTTTACAGATAAACATTTATTTGGAGATCAATCTTTCCTTTAGTACAATAATGCAGTACCTACTTTTGACCGCAGGGTGGCAGTAATCAACCACTGTCTGACAACTTTTAAATCCTTTATTCAGGTTTTACTTCCTCTGGTATTGAACGAGTAAAAAGTCCAGGTACAAAACCCTGAGGACACAAAGTTTAGAATATTTTTTACACGTACAAGGAAGGTTTCAAAAATAATGGTATAAATTAACTGAAGCAACCGTAACCGTGTTTATTCAGGTTAGGTTTTTGGAGAAATCTATTTTGTAAAACTAAAAAAGACTTCAGAATAATATAAAACTTGGGGG